AAGGAAGCTGAAATTTTAAGGTACTGCCCTTCTGCCCATTATGTGATCCCTTTAATGTAAGCTCAGCCTTCCCACGTGCCTGGGTATCACATACAACCCCGCAAAAGTTTTTGCGAGAGAAATTACTATCTCGGAAGACATAAAAGAAAAAAAGCTGAAATTTTTGGCCTTTGTTCACATGCGACCTCGCAGATTTAAATTCAGCCTTCACATTCCCGTGGGTTTCTCGTACACTTTTAGCTAGAAAAATATGTCGGAATCAAGAAAGCTGTAAGGTCGGATTTTCTGGAAAATGTTTTCTCCCTGTGCAGGGGCCTCACAAACTTAACTCTCAAGTATTCCAAGGTCTTACATACAACTGGTTGTGAGATTTAACGTGAAAATCACTGGTTCGGGAGCGGGGAAGGGGTTACGATGTTGGAATTTGGAAGGGTGTTCCTCGTCGGAAGTTTCAGATTCACCTTTTACGTACTTTTATGTTTCACACACCAGTACGTGAAATTTTTACTGGGAAGTTTCACAACTTATGAGTCAACCAGTATATCGACTATTTTTCGCACGTGAAAGTGTAAAACGGGTAAATTTTCGGCTGGCAAACATCGGCTGAACGGAACTGCGCAAAACGCATGGTCGCACTGTCTACGCTGACATGCGCTGCTATTTTTTTGTGGCTTGCTAGTGCTGTGTCTCGTCGTATCTCGGCCTTTCAATGAACAATTGGTGCATAGCTCACTGCTCTTAGCTGCTGGCTTTGATGTTGTCCCGGAGAGCTTGTGGGCTTAGAAGGTTACAGGTAAATATAATTATCAGAACAGTTTTGTTGACTGTGCTTTCGCAATTTTTTTTGCAATGTAGAAAAGGAAATAGCAAATATATGTGCTTTTTCCCGCTGAGTTGAGTTATAGGGGAAGATCTTAGTGTCCTTGAAGTGTAGGTTTTCTGTATGAGCAACGGACCGTTGTTACTCTTTCTTAGCATCCAAGAATCGCATAGTTTGCAGTTATGGCGGAGAAAGAATCATATCAGAAATTTACCAGCATGATCGAGCAGATTTTTGAAAATATCGATGATTTCGACGTACTGGCAAGTGGCAATGGTTTGTTTTCATGAAGTTCTTCTTTTGAGAAGTTATTTCAAGTGAAAGCTGACTTCTGGTGGTACTTTTTGCAAGTCAACATATCCAACTTCCGTATGCATTACACATGCTAATACTGGAATCCTTAATGTGTCCTGTATTGCTTTCCGAAAACATGAACTCGTGGATATGAGTTTTGAACGAACAGAACTCTGCCTTCAAGACAAGATTGCACTTTGCTCACCATTGCTTGTTAATAAGTGAAGTATTTTATGGTAGATCTCTCCTGCCACGTTGGCATGAATAATGCTTAAAACTGGTCGCGGATAATATGGATTGGTAATATTAGGTGGTCAAGATAAGAGGGCTTATTGAATATAATTGACAGCAAGGATTCTTTTAAATGATGATTTTTGTAGCAGATAGTGAAGGTTTGGTCACGCAGGATGTCCTCATTGATAAGGGTCAGCTGCAGGAGTTGCGCGAAGAAGCACAGAAGTTGAAATCATGGAACATCATCCACAAGGTTTCTAGTTTTGCTTATTAAGTCAAAGAATATGATTTTTTTTTTTTTTGCTAACAACTGTTTTGAGTGTTTGTTTAATGATTGTCGCTGAACAGAAGTGTGACCTCAAATTCGCAGCATCCTGATGAAGCCGATTTTCATGGAAATTCCTTTGTCATTAACTTACTGACGTACCACTTGCAGTAAGTGATGGCATAGATTTTTGGAAGATGTCCCTGGAAAGAGATAGTAGCATGCATCCAGCATTTTAGTCGAGCAGAGTGAAGAATCGAAGCAGAACAAATGCTAAAGACTACAAGCGGGCCGACCGCGAAGCAATGTAGGACCAGCCATATTTAGAACTGTCTGGGAGTACAGTAACTTCGGCGGTTTTTAATTGTAATATAAGCCATCGAGACTTTTGTAATCTCTGCGCAGTCAATATAATTGGCCAACGCACGGGCTGCCCGTGCGAAGATGCGTTTTTTGCATGGTTCCCCGCAG